AGGGCAGTGTCACTGGCCCTCATATGTGGGATCCGAACCGGGGCCCTCTGGCATCCCAAGCCAGTTCTTAACCATCGCGCCACTCGGCCGGCCCTGTTTTGTTTGATTTTCATATGACATTTAAAAATACACAAATGTAGAGAAAACATAGGACACCCAGCTTCTACAGTGATCAACATTTTGCCAATTATTTTTTAATCTGTCCCTTCCCCTCTTACACTTTTAAACTTTCGTTCTTGTTTTTTGGTGGAATATTTCAAAAGCAAATCCCAGAAATAATGTCATTTCACCATAAATATTTCACTTTTCTAATAATGGGAAGTTTTTATTTTAATTTTTTATTTTAATTTAATTTCATTTTATTTTTAAAGTGGTTTATTAGAAGAGATAGTGCAATTCAAAGAAATAGAAGCAGGCCCAAATAGTACAGAATGGTTCAGGGGCCATTATTAGAAGAGAAAGTACACTCCAAAGAGTTTGGAGCAGACCAAGCAAAAGGAGCTCAAAAGATCGGAAGTTTTTATTTATTTATTATTTTTTTTTAAAGATTTTTATTGGGGAATTGGGGGGATGGGAACAGTGATGGGGAATTGGGGGAAGGGGAACAGACAAGTTGCTGTCGTTTTGTTCTTCAGTCTAGTTGTGGAGGACGTTGTTTCACTGGCCCAAGTTAGCATCATCATTGCGCTCTTCCCAGGTGAGGCAGATCAGTCGCTGGCTTCTGGATGGCCGCTCCCTGCAGCTGCTGGCCGCTCACGCTGGCTGATGGCCACTCACGCTGGCTGATGGCTACATACGGTAGCCCATGGCAACCCACTGCCACGGGGGCTGCAGCCTACGCCGTCGCTGGCGACTCACCGGCAGCCCAGCTCCAGGTTGAGCTGTTGTTCAGCATCTTAGCTGTGGAGGGCAGTGTCACTGGCCCTCATATGTGGGATCCGAACAGACAAGTTGCTGTCCTTTTGTTCTTCAGTCTAGTTGTGGAGGACATTGCTTCACTGGCCCATGTTGGTATTATTGCGCTCTTCCCGAATGAGGCAGATCAGTTGCCGGCCTCTGGATGGCTGCTCATGGTGGCTCTTGGCAGCTCACACCAGCTGCCAGCCACTCATGCTGGCTGCCAGCCACTCACGGTAGCTTACAGCAGCCCACTGCAGCCTCATTGCAGCCCACGCCATCGCCGGCGACTCACAGCAGCCCAGCTCCAGTTCACCATCTTAGCTGTAGAGGGCGCACCGTCACTGGCCCTCATGTGGGATCCAAACCGGGGCCTTCCTGCTCAGAGCTGGCGTCCCAAGCCAGCTCTTAACCAACGCACCACTCAGCCGGCCCCTAAATATTACTTTTGACAATTATATGTCTTAAGTCTCTTTATAATCTAGGATAGTGTCCCTGTCTGTTTGCTCAAGTCTGATTTTCAAAAGGTAAAATCATAACTTTCATACGCATACAACGTGACCAGTCCCAGGCTCCACTCGTCCACTTTTTTCCTGTAGACCTTGGAGTCAGTCATTTCACCAAGGAATACTGGTGTCTCTATTTAGAAATGGTATTTTAGAGATCACAGTTGGAGCACTTTTGGGTGCTTTCCTTTTAGAAGTTGTGATGGAATATCAGTCACCTGTGACCAGGGATGTGTCTCCTGAGGTGCTAGATAGTGTGTAGTTATGAAACTTCACATACGTCCTCCTCATGTTTCTGATGTCTTTAGTTTGACAGTCCAGCCACCGAGCTGGTTAACTAGACACAGAATGGGTGTATGTCATCGGTACCAATCTCTAGAATGAGCAAAGAAAAGGGAGTTTTTAGCTTTTTAATTGTGAAATGTTCTGATAACTTGAATACTAAGGTAATGATTTTTGTTTTTCTTTCCCCTACCATTTTGGTAAGTTAACTTTACAAAGGCAGAACTTAAAAGAAGTTTTTTTCCCTTTTATATTTCAGGTGAAGAGATTATAAATCATCTTCTGAATGAAAACATTTTTCTTAAAGTTTCATATACTCCAAGAAAAAACTGCAAATGTTTTTATATTTTGCCTGAGTACAAAATTTAAACAAGACGTTTCCACCAAAGGTAAGATAGTTTTCCTTTCTGATTCTGCTTTAATGTGTAATTTATGTAAATATACTGTATAAGTGGAAGTTCAAAGATGATGGATGACAGAAAAAGTTTAGTTTTGAAGGGTGCATATAGTCTATTGTCTTTTGGTGGTTTTTGATCCTCCTGAGTCTGGTTTTGAGATGTTGTGTTGTGGAAATTACTTGGTCTCGCCAAGCCAAAGTGTAATCCAAATAAAGTGGGGACAGCCATGCATCTGTCATGAAGTCCACATGAGATGGGCCATTTACACTGTCGTGGTTGCCATCCAGAATGCACACTCCACGTAGAAGTTGAAAAAGGGAGGGAAGGATTTATGCTTCCAGAAGTATTAGATGCTCCTAATGGTTCCAGAAAACAGGTCATTGGTGTTCATCGCAGGAAAGAATTTAAGGACACACCAAGTGAGCCAAGCCAGCCATGGATTTATTAGAAGATAGTCACTTTCAAGGTAGTGAGAGCAGGTGGGCTCAGAGAAGAGCAGCTGCCTGGAAGAGAAGTGGGGTCTGGGGATGTATCACCCTTGAAATGAAAGGGTGGCGTATGCAGGACTTGGGGGTGGTGTCCTAGGTGTTCCTGGGCAGGTACTTGCTGCCGAACCTTCCCATCGGGAAGGGGCTTTTTTGTCCTTATTTGCCTCTCAGAACTGGTCACCCAGGGTGGAGATTTTCTTGGCTGCCATGCTGATAGCATTATGATCTATTCTAATCAGCTAAGGTTCACCTTAAGGAGCAACGTGGCACCCTGGATCTCCCTCCGGCCACCAAAATCCAGTTCTGACCGGATCGTAGTGGAGCTTTTCCTTAACTGCTGACCTTGCCGCCTCCTTCCTTTTCTCCCCATTTCCTCGCTGCCCTATTCTTCCTGCCTACCTATTCTTCCTGCCTACCGTTAACAACAGAAGCTCTCCCATTGCTATTCAGTTAGATGCTGGATAAATTACAGTAAATCAGATTTCTTGTGATCACTTCAGTGCATTAAAAATTAGGGTAATTCTCTAAAGGCCAAAAGAGAAAAGAGAGAAAGGAGCAGTGGGCCTTATGATAGCACTCCTTTGCTCCATGCAGAGGGAAGCATACACAGTGTAGGCCCTCGGGATTTCCATAGATTACATTTAAGCAAACCAACTTACAACCAGAATACACACACCGTTGTGAGGAAGAGTCAGCATAATGAGATGCTCCCAGGCCTGCAGATGTTGAATGATCAGATGCGTATGTACAATAATACATGAAATGTTTGAAGAAATACAAAACTGAATAAAAACTAGTAATGAAAAGCAAAGTATCAAAATGATCCAATGAGCCTTCAGAAATGAAAACAAAAATTTGAAATGAAAAACTATATTTATGTGGATTAAATAGATTAAACAAGGCTGAAGATAGAATTAGTGAACTGCAATATATATCTGAAGAACTTATCCAGTGTGCTACACTGAGAGATGGAAGACGGAAAATGAGATTAAGAGAAAATGGGGGATAGAATGAAAATGTGGAGTTGGAATCCCAGAATGGAAAAATAGGGAAAATTGAGGAAGGCCACTATTCAAAGTATTAATAGCTTTCACTTTTCAGAAATGAATAAAAGATATAAATCCATAGATTTAAGAAGCACACCATGTCCCAAGCAGTATGAATAAAAAGAAACACATACCCATACATTGAAATTGTATAGCATCAAAGACAAAAAGACCTTAAGCCACTGGTGAAAGATAGATTACCAACAAAGGAACATCTATTAAGTTGACAACAGATGTCTCATTAGCATGAATAGAAGCCAATAGAGAGTGGAATGACTTCTTTCTTTTTTTTTTTTAAGCTGAGCCATCCTGCCACCTGTTGGCAGCTCAGCGGCAGCTCAGCTCAGGCCGTGAATCAAACTGGTGACCCTGTTGCTCAGAGCTCACACTCTTGAGTGAGCTCTTAACCAACTGAGCCACTCTGCAGGCCCTTGGAATAACTTTTCAAAATGATGAGAGGATATAAATTTCAGTGTATAGAATTGTGTATCAGGTATATTTTGCAAGAAAAACAGCAGTGTCTTATGTTTTTGATAAATGTTAGGCTAGGTTTTTTGGACCACCCTCTATCCTCGCCCCCGCCCTCTCCCCCATCCTCCCCCCCATGGAAAGCAACTAAAATTGTTGGATTAAAAAAAAAAATTTAAAGAACTGACAATACAGCAAGGAAGTTCTAGACCAAAAAATGAGAACGTGGAAAGGTAATTTTAACACTGTAGGATGGAATCTGCCTTTGCCCTGAGGGCACTCGATGGCCTGGATGGAGTGGGACTTGGATTTCTGAGGCCTCGTGGTAAGAGCTGTAGTTAGGATCTACAGTCCTCTCAAGGCGGAGGGCCTCATGGGGACCATCCCTGTGCTGAGTGGGGCACTGAAGGGCCCTGTCTGCACCCTCGGAGTGCGGGTGAGCTCGAAGCATGCCTGCCTCCCTCCATCACTGCCCCTACCTGGGTTGTGCTTTTGCTAAACATTGCAGGAAAGAGGGTAGGGAATGTTGTGGCTGTGGGTTAACCTTTGTGAGGGCTTGTAGCCCAGGTTCACACTGCCTGGTAGTTCAGGGAAGTCAAGCATGAATTTAAATTAAGGTTCTCTGGTTTGACAATGCCTTCTGGCATCCCACAAACAAAACCTCTCTGGAGGAAGCTACCTTCATCCTAAGGTACAAAAAAACTCATGTAGATCTGTTAAGGATATTGAATAGTACACAGACAAAACTGACCAAGCACAGAAGGAAGTAAGGCACCATGAGTAAAAACCCATAGAAACAGAGACTTCAGACTTTGGAATTATCAGAAATAGACTATAAAGCAAGCATGCTGTTTATTATTGAAGGAATATTTAAAGAAATAATATCTATAGGAAACCATAAGAGGTGAGCTATCATATTTGAAGAAGAACCAAATAGAATGTCTAGAAATAAAGAATACAGCATATGGATTTAATAGCAAATCATTTACAGTATAGAGGAAATCAGTGAACCGGAGAACAGGACAGGAGCGATCCGCAGGCGAAGCACAGAGAAGACAATGGAAGGTGCAGAGTGGGGGTTCGGTGGCGTGGGGGCCAGAGGGAGAGGGCCTCACGCATGTGTAGTTGGTGTTTTGTAAGGAGAAAAGAGGACAGGCAGATTTATTATTTGAAAAGATAAAGGCTAAAGATTTTCAAGAAGTGGTGAAAACAGTCTACAGATTCACAGAGAAACTGAATCATCAGCAGGATGAATAGGAAGATGATTTACAGCTCGTCGTTGGAGAGAGGAAAGCTGCAGAGCCCCAGAGGCACAGGTGGGTCTGAGAACACCCCAGAGAAACGGAGTTAGTGTCGTCTGCACAGCGGGGGGCCTGAGGAGACTGGCGGCGACTCCTCTGGCTGCAGCCTGTGAAGTTGGGTCTTCACTGGCCTGAGAGGAAATGTTGCTGACCTCAAGCTCTAGGTCAGGCAAACATGCCTTTCGAGAATGAGGAGAATATAGACTTTTTAGGAAAAGAAAAACTGAAGCGTTTGCCATTGGCAGTCCTTCACTAAAGGTGCTTCTAAAGGCTGCAGAAAAAAGTGATTCCAAGGGGAAGAATTGGGATTCAAGAATGAGAAGCCAATCTAAACAGACATGAACTGTTTCTAACTCTGGTAATGGTAAGGATAGAGTCACGTAAAGCACGACAGCAGCAGTGTGCAGGTCGGAAGGAGGGAAGCGGAGGTCAATCACCCCACAGCCTTTGGAGCAGCTGGGGCTGGGGAAGGGTGTGGACTCCCTGCAGGGTTTAATGTCACACTTCCTGAGGAGCCACTGTCAGAACAGAAACAGGAGGGAGCTTCCAAAGCACTGGCAAAGGCAGCAGGACTTTGTTCTGACAGAAGAAACTGGTACAGCCCTTACCTGGGGACCTGTTGAGAGCTCTCCCTGCAGGAGCGGGAGGGGCAGCGCTGTTTACTCTGACTGCATCTGTCAATGATTGTGATGGATGTTTTAGCCAGACTGACCAGCACATCAGAAAAATGGGGAGAAAAGAGTTTGGATGGAAGAAGCAAAGCTGTTGTTATTCACTGATGATGTGATTGTATATGTAGAAAGCTCAAAACAATCCACAGATAACTTAATCAAACCAATAATCATTTAGCAAGCTGCTGGATACAGAATCAACTTATAAAAATATTGTCGGCCAGCTGGGTGGCGCAGTTCTCTGAGCAATAGGGTCACCAGTTTGATTTCCACATGGATCAGTGAGCTGTGCCTGAGCTGAGCTGCCAGCAGGCGGCTGGATGGCTCAGTTGGTTGGAGCGCGTGCTCTTAACAACAAGGTTGCTGGTTCAGTTCCCGCATGGGATGGTGGGCTCCGCCCCCCCACAACTAGATTGAAAACGGTGACTGGACTTGGAGCTGAGCTGCGCCCTCCACAACTAAGATTGAAGGACAACAACTTGACTTGGAGTGATGGGTCCTGGACAAACAATGTTCCCTTCCCCAATTCCCCAACACTGTTCCCTTCCTCAGTTCCCCAATAAAATCTTCAAAAGTAGGGCCGGCCAAGTGGCGCGGTGGTTAAGAGCTGGCTTGAGGGCCGGCCAAGTGGCGCGGTGGTTAAGAGCTGGCTTGGGATGCCAGAGGGCCCCGGTTCGGATCCCACATATGAGGGCCAGTGACACTGCCCTCCACAGCTAAGATGCTGAACAACAGCTCAACCTGGAGCTGGGCTGCCGTGAGTCACTGGCGACGGTATAGGCTGCAGCCCCTGTTGCAGTGGATTGCCATGGGCTACCGTGTGTAGCCAGCAGCCAGCGTGAGCGGCCAGCAGCCGCTGTGAGCGGCCGTCCAGAAGCCGGCGACTGATCTGCCTCGCCTGGGAAGAGCGCAATGATGGTGCCAACTTGGACCAGTGAAGCAACGTCCTCCACAACTAGACTGAAGAACAAAAGGACAGTAACTTGTCTGTTCCCCTTCCCCCGATTCCCCAGCGCT